GACGACAAAGATGACGACGACAAAGAGGAAAAGCCCGAGAATGGGGACGACGACAAAGATGACGATGACAAAGAGGAAAAGCCTGAGAAAGAGGACGACGACAAAGAGGAAGAGCCTGAGAAAGAGGACGAAGACAAAGAGGAAAAGCCTGAGAAAGAGGACGACGACAAAGAGGAAAAGCCTGAGAAAGAGGATGACGACAAAGATGACGACGACAAAGATGACGACGACAAAGAGGAAAAGCCCGAGAATGGGGACGACGACAAAGATGACGATGACAAAGAGGAAAAGCCTGAGAAAGAGGACGACGACAAAGAGGAAAAGCCCGAGAAAGAGGACGACGACAAAGATGAAGACGACAAAGATGAAGACGACAAAGATGATGATGATGACGACGACGACAAAGACGAAGAGTCCGAGGGATCTGGTGAGACTGCCGTGGTTCCCCACAAGCCCACCCTAATCGAAGGACCGCCAGAGGAGTGCCGCAAGTATATCAAGGTGTTCCTGCAGTGGCAGATTATCGTCACCTCTCACAAGAACTTCACCTGGATTGTCCAAATGAACAACACCAAGGACTGCAGGAAATGCTACTACGACAACGAGGCAGAGCCCTTCGAGGACATGGCCGCTTGCAAGGCCTGCCACGTGCCCTTCCTGCCGCAAATTGAGTCGGAGCCAGGCTGCCGTGACTGTCTGGATGAAGACAAGGCCGACAGGAAGGCCTGCTACAAGTGCTTCCTGCATATGAAACACAAGGTCTCGGCGGCTATCTGCCTTCTGCATGCGGAAGTGCAGGTCAAGTTGGACAGGCTGCATCTTTACCTCAAAGGGAAATTGTAAACGCAGCGTGGAGGAAGGGGTCAAACAGCCTGGGATGGACAACGGTGCCGTAGTTGCTTCTTCTAATATGTCATATGTTTCTCTTCCCAGTCTGGAATAAAAAGGGATGAATTAAAGGCGGCTTTTTGTTAAATTAACGGAAGTACTCGAGGCCGGGGGGTTGAGTGTATTGGTTTTGGGTTCGGGGATCGAAAATTTCTCGGCATAAACCTATTGCTCACGTGTAGTGAGCTGTAGATAAGTTTTCTAATTCTAATACCATATCCTAATTGGGGTTCGGTTGCAGAGCAGAGGTACCTAGCGTTCAATTAGGTAACAAGTGTAGACTCTTTAAAACCAGGGGTAATTATTTTGTATCGAAACGCACAATGTTACATTGGTTGCATCGGGAATTCGGTTATGAGGAACTAAGGAATTTAGAAGAAGAAGAAAAAAATGTGATCACTGGAACAAGGGCTTTATTTTCCTGACGTTTCAGATTCCCTCGCAGATGGGGTGGAGACATGCACGGGCTGCACGGTATTTATAGTTCATTGTGGTCATCCGTGCAGCCTGTGCATGTCTCCACCCCATCTGCGCATGACCATGACTATGT